TGTCATTCCATAGCAATATACTTTATTTGTGATTGACACTCGAGGTACTAATTGATATTTTATTTATACTTTGCGATATTAAACTTTATTGAAGAATTTTTTATATTAAAAGAAATGAATTTGAGAAAATGAGAATTTCCTTCATATAGTTTTTATATTATGGTGTCTTGTAGTTATTTTCCCATATTTATTATATTTTATAAGTTATACGAATCGTCAATATGTTTTCTATTTATTTTTGTTTTAATTCGTTTTTAATTATGTTCAATGTAGTAATGAACGAACCAAATCAAATCGAACTTATACTTGTAAATCGGTTTGAAAATTGAATTAGTATAATTAAATATTATTTATCATTTGACTGAAAATGAATCAAATTGTAATTTCAATTTGGGTTCGGTTAAATCTCAAATATAAGGGTTCTTAATATCACTATTTTGATGTTTTATTTCATTTAAAGTTATGTATTATTTGTTGTTATTATACATTTTTCGTTAATCAGTAGGGGAGACTAGGGGAACTATGGTCAGTGGGTAATACCGGTCACCCCATTATCTAATAAACACATGCATCTAAAATTATGTTGACTATATGTATAGATTAAGAATGATAACAAAACCTTAATTATATTAGAACAATATTATCAAAAAACGTTTTCACGTTTAAATATGTGAAAATAGTTGTCAGAGTTTATTTATCTAAAAAAGAAAATGTTCAAGAAATTGAATTTGAGGTAAGTAAATTATTATATATTTCTAATTTATATATGTACGTATAGAACAAAACATGAGGATTATTCTATATTAAAATTATTTACCTCATAGTATAATGGTTTATCGATTAAAAATATGTTCTTATTACTTGTCAAAAAGAGAAACACCAATAAAAATTAATGGGGTAATATCAGTCACTTCTGAAATGACTGGTGTTATCCCATTCTCAATTAAAATGTGAAAATGCAAGTCAATTTCAAATTTCTCCTTCTTCTTCTGCAGTATTCAATCTAATGATTGGTTTGAAGCAATTTCCATATTTCTCTATTACTAGTCTTCCTCTTCAACTCTTTGTGATGGTGTCACGTTACCATTATTGTGAGAATTATTTTAATAAAATACAAACAGCACATCCGTTTCCTGAGACTGATGAATTAACAAATAATATTTATTGCCAAATTGGCAATAGTTCTAATTATTATAAAAACCCAAAAGACCTGACTATCGTGGTCAGTCGACTCCAGTGCCTTGTGTCATTCACCAGCCTAAGTACTCGGTTGTCGCTGTCCGGCTTACTGCTTAAAGTAAAGTCTTTGTTTTTTTCCTTTTTAACCTATCTACTCTCTTCCACAACATTTCAGAGTACTTGTGTCTTGCACTTCGTCTGCACCTCGTACTTCATTATCCTCTCCTATACCCAAAGTATTTGTGTCTTGCACTTCGTCTGCACCTCATACCTAGGTGTTACCCTTATTCCCTTCCTATAACAACAGCCTTTCGACACCCACAGCTAACCCGGAGTGTCAGCCGAGCACAGTGACTGCTGTACGACAACACGCACGTGAATACCAAGACAGTAGGCACCACATCCTCATCTTCATCTTCGTACACAATACCCATCACAATTACATTTGCACTTTTCGTTTATTGTGTTACGACATCTTGATATGAATTACATCCTTGATATTCTATTATCTGACTTAGTATTGCATATATTGGTCTTCCTCTATGATTTTTTTCATCGATTATATCTTCTAATATTAATAATAGCAACCCGTCGTGTCTTAAAGTATGATAATTAATTCATTTCACTTTTACTATATACTCTTCCATATTAATTTCTTCTCAGATACCCTTTTTAAAACTTCTTTATTAGTAATTATATCAGTTCAACTTATATTTTCCATTCTCCTGTAGCACCATATTTCGAATGTCTCTATTTTTCTTCTTTCTTCTCTTGTTTCTTTTTGTTGTCCATATTTCGCATCCATATAACATGATGCTCCAGATACACGTTTTTGTAGATTCTTTCTAATATTAAGGTCAATGTTTTTTTAAGTAAAAATGAAAATATGTTTGTAATTTGAGAGAAATTGATAATAAGCTAAGATTTTTTATTTAATTTACAAAATAAATAGTTATAAACAAATGAAATAAAATAGTTTATTTTTTTTATAAAAAAAAAGTTGTTGATATTCATTGATATAATCAAGTGCTTCCTATTGGTATTTGTTTTCAGTAATTATCTTTGAAGACAACACTTAGTTTAAACTATATTTCAGTGATTTTTTTAAAAATTATTTTATCCCTATCTTTTTGCATATATGTATATATATAAGATTATGTTTTAAAAATCTGAAATTTTAACATAATGCAGTCAATATGTTTATGCATCCATTTGTTGTAATAGTATAACATTTAGAGTTTTAGAACCAGAGATATAATCATTTTTGTAAAAGTGACCGTAGTTCTCTCAGTCTCCTCTACACGTTTTTTGGTAGTTGTTGTAATCATAACATATGAAAATGATTTCATATCCTGGTAATAATTAATTTATGAATGGATAATTTATTATTAATAATAATTTATTTATTAGACGTTTTTAAATTTTAAATAAAAGAGTACATTTATGAATATTTATATTTTGAATATGTCATTCATTAAAATAGATTACTAATTTATCTGTAGAATATTAGTTTCTATTTAGTTAATTTAGTAATATTTATCATCTGCTGAACAATAAAAATAAACCGTATGATATTTTTAATTACTTTCATGTTATTTTAACTTGCAGTATAGCTAAAGGTAACAAAATAGTGTGTTGAACATACCATTACCTAATTTATTTGATCCATATATACTATAGGTTATTGAAATATAAAGAAGGTCTATAATGTTTTAACAATTCTAATGACTTTTTATGTACTAAATATTTTTTAAATAATTTATGCATTTTAAGACTACGTTAAAATGATATGATTCATTATTTGTTTTTAATAAAATTAAAAAAAATGTATTTATAATTTTTTTGAAATTTTAATAAAACAATTTTTAGCCCATTCTTTATAAAATATTTTGATGATCTATCATCTATTATCCATCAACAATTTCAGAATAGATACATATTGAGTTACAAGTATTTTAATATATACAGAGTGATTATTTTATCATAACCCACTCAATTACTTGCAGAATAAATATAATTTAAACATTTTTTTTTTTTTGGTTTTTTTTAGTTACATATTATTCTTGAATTATTAACTATTTAAAACTTTTTATGTTCATCCCTTATACCTTGTAAGGGAGTAAACTTTGTTTTATTAAATGGGAACATATATTTTGAATTTAATAAAATGTTTGGATTTTTAATTCAATAGTAAATGGCATTTGAATTTTTAGTATAGCTTTATTAGTTTATTATATGTAAACATTTAAAGTCTCAAATTTTTAAGTTAATATACATGTATAATACACAAGGGATTATAAGTACAGGTAGCTAATTGGATTTTTATGACATTGCTGTCACAGTCACGGATTGTTTATTATCAATTATGACTATCAATAGATATACTTTCTGTATCGTCAGTTAGTGTATTCATAAACTCACAACAATGTGCCTTACTACCATTGATAATAACAATGCTTTGTACCTGCTAATATCGATGTCATAAAAAACCAATTAGCTACCTGTATTTGTAATCCCTTGTGTATTATACATGTATTTTGAAACTTTAAATGTTTATATATAATAAACAAATAAAGTTATACTAAAAATTCAAATGCCATTTACTATTGAATTAAAAATCCAAACATTTTATTAAATTCAAAATATATGTTCTCATTTAAAAAAACAAAGTTGACACCCTTACAAGGCATAAGGGATGAACATAAAAAGTTTTAAATAGTTAATAATTCAAGAATAATGTGAATTAAAAAAAACCAAAAAAAAAAAATGTTTAAATTATTATTACTCTTAAAGTAATTGAGTCGGATTTGATAAAAAAATCACTCTGTATAGTGGGTATGTAGTGCGGGTAGAGAGTACATTATACAAATACACCAGTATGAACTGTACTCAATAAAAATTTTTTTTTTTTTAAACTATGATTTTAAAGTATTCTAAAAATATGTCATTAAAAAAAAAAAAAAAAAGTAACGCAAAATATTTAGTAGATAAAAAGTTCTTAATTTAGTCAAAACATCATAGGCCACTCTGAATACAAAGATTTACTGAGTGTACACCATAAATAATTTAACAAGGAGAATTGAAACGGTTACAAATTGTAAACATTTTATTGTAACTTACAATTTCAACAATCGATATAGTTAAAATTCATAATTTAGATATAAAATATTTATTTGGATTATATTATCATACAACTAAATAATAATTGTGATGTGTGATCTTGAGTAGATAAAATTAAAAACATAAATTATGAAAATTATACTAAAAAGACGGAAAACATTTTTTAAATGCTATTCAATTATTATAATAAATATAATAGACATAATAAGATACCTAGTTATCTATCGTAAAATTTCAGCTTGAATTTTGAATAGATGGTTACATTTCAAATATTTGTTTGCAAATTAGTTCATCATTATAATAAGTAACATAATAAGCCCTAAATTAAAAGTAAATTATAAGTTCAATAATGAAACAAACCCCCCAAAATTGATTGATTTGGAAGGTTTTTAAAATAACTTTTTAAACAGTTAAATTTATTCAACTTCAAATGGTAGAAACGTGTAAAATATTTCGAGTTATCTGTGAAACAAAATTATAATAATACATTATATTAAATAGAACATTCTAGTAAAAGGAGAAAAAATTCGAGGTATTGACGATTTTGAATAAACCAAGTTGGAGTAAAACAATTTCATGTTGATTATCTTTTCAGATAATATTATGTCGATGTAGCCCCGAAAAAAATAGTTTTTTTTTTAAATTTATATCAATTCTATCATTAAGTTTACTATAGTAAGGTTTACAAAAATAAAAATTACCTGTAGATGATGAGTGTACTGAGCTCGATGCAAGTCAAACCACGATAATCGCGTAATCCGGATAAGTGAGACTACAAAATAATAGTATATGAGTCGGCAAAAGTAAAGAAAAATGAAATGTATGGACTGAATTCGTTGAGAGAGCACACGCATACACCCGCGCGGCAAACAACTGACGAACAGTCACGATGGCGATCAGCGGTAACCAGACGCTTACTCGACCGTGAATCCGATTCAGAAGGCTTGTTGTGTCTATTAGTTGCATCAGCAGTAACGGCGGCTGAACAAAACAGCACAAAACATGTGCAACTACACGACCATAAACGAATCCAGTTGTGGTGGACGTTAGTTGCGGACAGGAAGGAACCACGGCTGCCAACTCGTACCCTAAGCCTCCTTGACCGGTTCTATAGGTGTGTCGCCGCTTCCGTATCCGGCGATAGCTGTACAAGTGGATGAACCTAAGCTAGACCTCGCTCGTATTCTGAAAATGTTAATTTCCCTATTATACAATTATTTTTAGTTATATCTTTTTAGTGTTCTATTTCTAGACATCTCAGATGCTCTGTCACTACATCAACATCTGTCTTATTTTGTAAATCTCTTTAAAATTGATATTCTGTTACTACCGTGTACGCTTTGTATTCTTCTCTTTAAATTAGATGTCTTAATCCCAGATTATTAAACTTATAATAGTACTATTATCACCAACCCTAGTTGTTCTATACCGTAATTTCTTCATTAGTTTCCTTTTTTTATTCGCATTCTCAATAATAGTTTGTTCGTCGTTTAATTCTTGCTACAATAATAATTATTGTACCAAGAATTAAAATCTTAAAAGTAAACTCTTAATTATTAAGAGTAAATCCTATGATATTTAATTATAATGTAAAAGAAGATATTCTAACTTCAATTTATTATTTATTTTATTTAACATTTTAAAAAACATACATAAATCTGGCGTTTAAGTACGCAACATATCTATCAGTTGTGCATAAGGTATAGTAATTATAAATGAAATGATTAGTATTTTTCGGTTGATAATTCAGGTCTATGTTTTGGAGGTTATTGTATAGACCATAAAATAGAGTAATTCTTAGCTTTATTTCAAATACAAATAACATTCATTTTTGTTTAATTTTTTTTTTTTTTTTGAAGCCTTCAAAAACCTAAAGATGCTGATACAGAGGTAGTAATGCGAAGTACGAAGAAAACTTTCTTGTTTGTTCTACATTTTCAAAAATGTATTGATTTAATAGATAAACATTTTTTAATCATACAATTTTTAGTTACCAAGAGGGTTATCTGAAATTTTTGATATTCCTAAAATTATCATTACATACAATCAAAATAATCAATGTCATTTTAAATATTTAAACATACCCCAATGAATATTACTGATATAGTCTGATATAATCTCAGTAATTCAAACTTCTGATAATTTGAAATTCTCGACGATTCGTAGGTGATATTCGGTATTTTGAAAATCTTGCTATAATTCGAAGAAAAACAATGTATTTTAGCACACTCGATAACTCAAATTTTAATTTTGAACTTTTGAAAATTAGAAATTGTTTTAACATAATAATAGTTTAAAAAAAAAACCCAGCACAGGGGGGTCGCGGCACAGTGGTGACGTGGCATAGTTGGATCAAGTATAATGATATCTGACAGTGATTAAAATCACTATCAAAAATAAACGCTTCGATGCAAATCTTTAGATAGTGTTTAATTTTAAAAAAATTGATGTTTTATTCCAAAAGCTACTTGACCTGCTGTTTCCTTATTAATATCTCGATTAAGATAAAGTATGTCGAATGAAAAAAGGTTTATTAAAAAATATTATTTCTCATAAAAAAATTGTGTGGATCCATAAACTTTTCAATAAGTTATAGCATTATAAAGTTAAATATAATATAAATAATAAAATCGAGAATTTTCACACGAAAATAGCATTCGGTAGCCATTTTCGCCGTGAAGACAAGTCCAGAGGTCAAATTTTTTTTTTTCAAATTAAAGTATATTACATTAGCTTTAATTTAAGATATATATAAAAGTGTCAGACCTTCCGGAACATTTTCAAAAGTTATGTTGAAAAAGTAAATTTGTTGTGAAAAAGTTGTCATTTTGAATTCCCTCCTATGGGCAGGTTAAGTGTCAGATTTACAAAAAAAATATACCAAATGATAAGTAAAGACATCAAGCATCTATATAAAAAAA